TGAAAGCCATGCCGTGTCAGTAATGGCTACACAATCCCATGACCCTGATGGCGTTAAGTGGGGCCCCCCTTCCCGTCCGATGGCATCCTTGTGCATTGATAGCTGCAGACACCTGTTGTCCTTCCAGCTCAATCCCTAGCAGTGGAATTTCTCGGTCAGAGGGGATCAGCATGTTTGAATCTTTGCCGTGGACTGCGTCCTGCTTTCTGGAAAGATTCTATCAATTTATGTTCTTCTCAGAACACAGCCTGTGTTCTCCTCGCCACCGTATTGGGGGTTACCACGTTCAGTTCTCTGCTGAGCAGATGTGAAATCCTCAACCGTTTAAAAACTGTGTTTCCTGACAAACAGGGTCTCTCTGAGTTGAGTCTTATTTCCTGGCCTGTTTTTTTCTATTGGCCATGATGTCATTTGTGCTTTTATTCAACAAATAATCGGCAAGTTTACTCAGCATTTTTTTTCTGCTGATATTTTTCCTAGTTTTCTCTCCATTTCCTGAGTGTTTTGTCATCCTCCCTTCCTCACCTTTTTTTTTTTTTTTTTTTGTGCTTGCAAATGCGCTCATCTTGGGTTTGGTTACGTAATGCCTGGTAGTTTATCTGCTTTTCAATGGCTTGGCTCATTTATTTATTTATTTATTGTGATTTGGGTGAAAGTTTACAGAGCAAATTCTCTTTCCATACAGCAGCTCACATGCACTTTGTCTCATGACATTGACTGCGATCTCCTGCAATGCAACAGCTCCCCTCCCACTTCCTCCCGACAGCCACCTCTTCCCTGTGTCCATCCCTCCGTGCACCCTGCCCCGAGCTGGCTCCCTGTGCACACACAGCCCTTTTTTCTCCCAGGGTTGCTCTCTTTAACTGCTTGGCTCTTTGTTTTTAACTGTTCTGTTCCATCTGAGACTTTGGGCCCTGGGGTATAAGCTAGGATGTGAGTTCCTTTTTCCTGAATCGGTGTTCATTCCGCAAACGTTACTGAGTGCCTGCCAAGCGAGGGGGCCGTGCTGGGTGCTGAGGGCTTGTTGTTGTCGTTGTGTGCAGTCAAGTGGACTCCTTCTGACAGTGACCCTCGAGGACACAGTCGAGCTGCCCAACGGGGTTTCCTCGGTTGGTAGGGTTCACAGGAGCTAAAACCCGTGGCCCTGCCCTGAGGATGCTGATGGGAAGGGCTCCTTCCTGCTTCTCAAATGCCAGCTACGCAGGCAGTGTTCTTTCAGACACTTCAGCCCAGTCTGCACATCAGCCTAGCCAGCAGGTAGCGTGATCTGCAGCCGGCGAAGGAGTGGGGTCTTGGCTACACACCAAGTCCCATGCCGGTGAGTTGTGATGCCAAGCCCTTTCCGGGGGCAGCTGGCCTCTGGCCACGAGTTTTGGCAAGTGAGGGCCGTGACAGCTGCTGCTGCTGCTTATTCGCAGTGTGTTGAAGGCGTGCGTTTCTTCGTGGCTGTTGACAGTCTAGGGCCATGCTTGCTCTTGAACCCGGTGTCTGTCTCTCTACCAGAGCCCGTTGCTGTCGAGGTGACCCTGGCTCAGGGCGACCCCAGTAGCCCCCTGTGCTGGAGGAGTTCCTGTGGCTGATTTTGATTGCCAGCCCTTTCTTCCTGGGCACCTCTGGGCTTCAGTTAGCAGCCACGGAAATGAACCGTGCGGGCCGTGCAAGGTCTCTCCGGCCTCTTTGACTTGTACAGCCTCTGCCCTGCCTCGCTCTGGTGTCCTGTGACATTTGGGGGCAGCCAGTCACTTTGTCACTTTGTGACTTGCCTCTGGTTGGGCTGTCTGGTATTCCCTGGGGGCTGGAACCCGGCCATGCATGTGGCCACAGGAATA